GCACCTGTTCAGATGGGTGGATACAGGAATAGCGTGGGAAAAGAAGTACCGTCACCCGAAGACCGGCGTCAACACGCAACTTTTTGCTGGCCTTGTTCGGTGCCTTCCAAAGGTGGTCACCGAGTTCTTGTCCAAGGCTGTCACAATAGAGGCTTCAGCAATCTTTCAACATGTTCTTGCGGTGAGTGAAGAGTATGTATGCTCCTCAGGTTCTCACAACTACTGAGAACAACACCGAGCGTCTTCGTGACCCAATCTGTTCTATCATACGCGAGGAGCTCAAGAGGCGGCTGCACCGCTACTTCCTACGGTGAACTTCATTGCAAGCATCATAATCAACTAGCTGCGCTAGAGCCTTCATGATCTTGTTACTCCTTGTAGCATCATCATCATCGCATTTAACATCATCATAATTTTTCAGCCACCACGCCACGTCTCTGCCGTTGCTCATGCCTGTAGCTCGACCTGCGTGAGCAACAGATACGAGTTCACGCGCCTGACGTGTCGGGCACGGGCAGCCGCCGCCGCTCTGCTTCAGCCTAGGAATAAAGTGCCGAGATTTGCGCGGCTTCATCTCACGCCTTCATGACGTCGTCTTACATCTCTCCACTCTCGCAACACTGGTGACCCGAAATACACGCCCTTCGACGACCCATCGGCTTCAATGCTTCCACCACTCGGCCCACCAGTACCACCGTCCCACCCGGCCTTGCCCTAGGCATGTTTCATGCCGCTTGACGCCGTTCTCGTTGTGCATGGGGTCGTGGACTAGCCGCTTATGCACGCCATCTTGCTCGACGAGCTTTCAATTGAGTTTCGCCATTTTGCTGTCAAACCGACAAGACCGCAGCCATATGACACCCTGTGCAGTGCGGTGCTCACCTGCTGCGGTCACGTGTACCACTCGCTTCAGTTTACCCGCGCCTGGCAAGTTTCTTTAGCATCACAAGGCAAAATATCAACCAGCCCACAGGGTTCCTTGACGGCTACTTTAGTTTTGCGGCATCGACAACTTCTACTTCTGATCCGGTCACAGCTACATCGAATCCTGCACCTGACCACGACGATGAGGTAGAAGATACTCCCACATCGACTGGCCTCACCACCAACAGATGCGGCCCTTTGGAGCTCGCTGAAGAATGTCTATCACGCGTGCTAGCCTCCTACACGTTTACCGCGACACCGACGGCACGCGATGTCTCGGCGCCGCCAGACTTCACAACGACCAGCTTGCCGCAGGCCTCGGAGCCTGCCACAGACGTCTTTCCACCTGCTCATCGCCACACTAATGCTGAGACATCACCGTCCACGATGTCTGGTAATCGCCACCCATCGACTATGACAACCTGTGCGTCTTGCCAGCAGTTACTATCGTCTACTTCAACGTCCCCCGCAGCTTATGTTCCTGCCCGTGACATGCTCCAGTAGATTTTCCAGCATGTTGCTACAATGACCGAGAACCTGGTGACAGCTTCGTCATTAGCCGAACACCCCGCACCTTCTCTACCAACCTCGCTGGTGGAAAATACCCAGGCTGCCTCGACGAGCAAGGGTACGTCAGCGACCCTCCGGCAGAGCCCGTGGCTTCTACCATTCCGGAGTCCTTGAAGGGTAACATGACTCAGCAGGAATGTATATTAACTTCAAGCATCAGACACCCACTGGTTGCCAGTAGCCCCATCCCGTTGACGACCTGGACTGCCAAGGGCCGTTGCGTTTCGTGAGCCTAACTATAAGATCTCATTGTTATCAACCAGGTTCTGTTCTGTGAGTGAGGGGAAGAGGGCTACACTGTACCATTATCCCCATCGCCGTTCATCATCATCATTGTCTCAGTCACTACGCCGTGGCTTTCGCGCAGCTTATGGCTCTAGCTATGGCTGCGCCAGCAACAGTACGACTTCACGCACCACGCATGTTCAACCCTGGCAGACGACGTAGCTACGCTTCAGCCTACGAATTAAGTGGCGAAATCGGCACAGTGCCGTCGGCCGCCTTCAGGACGTCGTCTCGCGTCTCTCTGCGCTTACTACACTCGTGTTAAAACACAACAGTCCCGGCTGAATACCACCTCGCGACCCACGCGGAAGCCTTGAAACGCCCTTCTTTCTTTTCCCCGCTGTTTTTCAGGCATCTCCTGCTGTTTAACTTCAGTCGGTTCAGCCGCTCCCGTAATATAACAATACATACACGCCACCACTTTCCCCCTATGCATATTTTCTCCGTCTTGTGAACTCCAAATACCCATACGGTCACAGCTTCTACTTGTAACAGCTGGCAGCCAAGTTGGCGAGATGCTTCGATGGTGGTGAAGCTCCGCTGACTTCCTTCGTCGAAGAATATTCTGTAGTTTTTTGACGACATCGTTGCGGAAATTCTGCGCGTCAATGACGTCATTATAGTATTACAGGACTCGCTTGATCGAAGTGAACGGTGACTGTTGTCGTAGATGCGTCGTTCACCCTTTTGTGGAAGTCCGGGTCACACATGGAGGTAACAGGACGTCGGAAGCATCCATTGCATTTGAAGTTCGTTGAAGTTCATTGAAGGGTTCGCATACGTGATATTGAACAGATAGGCGGAAGACATGAGGAGGTCCTAGAGTAAAAACTTTCGGAGGGACCTCCTAACACATTGTGAATAAGATGATGAATAATATGCCGCAGACAATTGCATTGTGACAAAGTTCTAAACACAATGTGTAGCGTGAACAAAATGAACGAAAACACTTCACTTAGTTTTTAGAAACACGAAGGTAAACAACAAGTTTACAATAAATAGAAAAGCAGAACTGAACCATACATCAAACTACGTTTTTTTAAGAGGTGGTGTACATCTCCAGTTACACTATAGGAGGAGCGTCACTGTTATTACACATACAACGTAAAATTCGGTAGAGCAGTGCAAAACAAGCAGAAAGTAATGAAAAATGAACCGATTTCAATTTTCTAATTGCACCTAGATCGAACATGTTGTAGTTAGTTCAGTGATTAGGTGTATTTTGGTTCGTCGGCAAAATGAGCTTGTCGTGAAAGATTGTTTAATTTCAGAAGGAATTGAGTTCCACACGGACACACCAGCAAATTTAGCACTGATTTCTTTATAGTTTGTACGAGCATTTGTGTCTTACTCTGCAGTGTATTGTCATGTGACATTCCTCTAGAGATCAAAAACACCACACGGCCTTGGTAAGAATCCTCTTTTTGTCGTTAAACGTCACTTCGTTGTCACGCCCCGCCGCGGTGGTCTAGTGGCTAAGGTACTCGGCTGCTGACCCGCAGGTCGCGGGTTCGATTCCGGGCTGCGGCGGCTGCATTTCCGATGGAGGCGGAAATGTTGTAGGCCCGTGTACTCAGATTTGGGTGCACGTTAAAGAACCCCAGGTGGTCAAAATTTCCGGAGCCTTTAACTACGGCGTCTCTCATAATCAAATGGTGGTTTTGGGACATTAAACCCCACAAATCAATCAATCAATCAATCAATCAGTCACTTCGTTGTCACAGACTTCGGAGCAAGGCTTCGACGAAATACAAAACAGGCATGGATCAGGTTTCCCTAGTGCACTTTGTATTGCTGCGGCTGACAAGACATGACGTCCTTCTCGTCGTGACATCTCGGCAGCATTCTGATGTACCACTGGCCTTTCCGGTTGTGCATATGATGCCAGAGTTTCTCGGCAGTGAGGCTGTTGTTTGAAGTACCAGGAAGTCTTTATAGCTCTTTCTCTGTGTCTATTGTCGTACCCTCTGCGTCTCTTTGCGCTTGCGTCATTGATACTTCGGCCATTGTTGTCGTCGGCTTCTGAAGTACATAATACTTGAATACTAGGTCTGGTCGGATGGATCACAAGAGAATCTCTCATTGCATGGAGGACTAGGGGAAAGGGCTTGTTCCAAGTGGTTTGAGACAACCTACATGCACTTGAACTCCGTCATAGAGCTAGAAGATGAGAAGACCGGCCTGAGATTTAGAAGGCTTTAAAGATGTTTCGTAGGAGAATTTTATCGTCTCCGAAACGTCTTTTTGGGAATGCCCACTGTATCTTTATAGCACTCGCGCGATGCTTGGTTCGAATATGGCGACAGCGGCCCGTCTATAGTGACAAGCGTGCTCAAGTGGTTAAACTTGTCGGCAGTGCTGAGGTCGTCATTATTATGCACTGCCGTTGAGATTTACATCCAAAATCGATGCCATTGCTACCAATGGTCATCTAATTTCTCCAGTTCTAGTTCCGGCAGTCGCAAACGAACAGCGACGAAAGCTTGGCTGGTCATTGGGCGCAAGAATAAGGACGCACGGTCATTCTGAATAGCAAAGCGAAGCTTCAACGTCAGCGTGACAGCAGCTCTTGTTCTCGTAGAAGGCCTTCAGTTTCTTGTACAATAGAATCCAGGTGCGAGCGGAGGCACTGGCGTCATTGGAGTAGCCATTACGTGGTTAGTGGGCAGCCGGGAACTCTTCGCCAAAGGTTCAGGGGTCACAGCGTGACACCATGAATCGATGAGGTTAGCGTCGTTTTGAAGATCCTGTGAAGTTTCAGCACCAAGTAGGGTGCATTGAGTTCTGCTGGCAACCAGGCTGTCGAGCAGGAGCGAGAGACGGCCCGTCCGAAACGAACGCTCTTTCAATGGAACTAACAAGAAAGAAGTGATGGCTTTGTGACCTCGAGCGAGCGGCAGCTTGTGAGGAGCACTGACAATGATGATGAATGTCCTCTGTTAGGCTGATAAAGACGAATTCCCCACATTTCGTAGGAACGTATCAATAAAAAAAGAATGCATGTGAGCGTGGCTCGTGCGTACGAGTGTCTTCTTCATTAACCCTTTATTCTCAACGGCATCTGTATGTGTTTGCCCGTAATTTAGTACTAATGTTCTTTGCACTACATTCTCGTGTCTTTTCTCCCGATTCGGCGTTTTGATTCTTATAGAAACTTTTGCTCGAAGAAAAGGGAACCCGGAATGATGAAATAAATTGAAGCGTAATTGTCGCTTTTGCAGGGTGAAAAGGGTCACGAGGGAAAGAGGGGCAGCGATGGCCAAATGGGTCCGCAGGGTCCCCCTGGACACTCAGGCCCGCCAGGAAGTACGGGAGAGCTGGGTCCCCCGGTAAGTACCGTGATTCATTTATGAATACGTGCAGCTCGTTTCGTGTTTGATATAGTTTCGAGAAATTTCAAACCTGCAGGGCAAGCTCTGTACATCACAGTAAAAGTTGGCAGAACGGGTTTTCAAGAGCCCATTTGCGACTCTCGTTGAGCAACTAGAGTGTACTAGAACAAAGGAGTGCCCAAACCGGGTGTTGAAAAGTGAAGCCCAAAAAGTGCCAATCCGCTTGTGGCATTGTGATCCGTAGTCTGCAATGTGTCGTCGTTTTAAGACAGGCGCGCGGCTCCACCGTAGTTTAGAGAGGTAGCATGCCCACTTGCATCTCAAAAGACCCAGGTGCGAAGCGAAGCTGTGGACTGTATATTTTTTAAAGACGATAGTCTTTCTTTGGGACCTTCGACGCAAAAATTTTAGTCTGTCTGCCTGTCTGTCTGCCAGTCTGTACATTTGTCTGTTTGTCCAATCCTAACGGCACCGGGTACTTGAAATGGCCGACCCCATCCGCTGCGCCCACTATTGTTGCTCAAGAATAAGCGTTCATACTTGTGGAATTGTTAATAAAAAAGCGATAATTGCGCATGTCTAGGGCACCACAAGAACATGTATATATTCTGCATGAGCCCCTTTTTACTAGAAACGACATTTATAAGTAATTTAAGGTACTGTGGTGCCTATCAAGCTGCACTGACCATGCCACGCTTGCACGAGAAGGCAAGAGTTCCCAACGCTTTGCTAAGGCTAGACGGTGGTCACACCTACCCGTTGCATTGTGTTCTACACCTTATCACCTCTGAGACGGATGCGCACACCCGTCTCAGAGCCACGCGCTTTGTTTTTCAAAAAAAAACTACCAGATGGCGCTCATGTCTCACATATGACGTGAGTTGATGCGTTCATTCGCCTCCACTGCACGCTCGAGGTACTCTGACGCAGCGCCTCCAGAATACCACTCACCGAATTTCTTGCGAAGAACTATAAATAAATGTTTTTTTCACTCTCTTCACGCGCAAGATTATCGTCTTTCGATGACATTCCCAGATAACATGCAGATACGGGGACAATTTTTTTCTTAGTTTCACTTCTACTGTTGTATTGGTTTTCTTGTTTTTATTTCTAGATTGAGTTGGTACATGTTGTTACCAAACTCTCTTGAAATATGAAGTAAAAAAGAAATGTGACAGTGAGTGTAATGTGGAGCCGCCGGTCAAGTAGGCTCCCTAGTACACTGGCTTTCAAAATTCTTCCTATCTCGCGAGACGTACGCGGCATGGCCCTTCCTATCTCGCGTGACATACCTCCTTGCTGACGCGCTTTTTGGAACGCCGTCTGCATCTGGTTGCCACAACTCGGTCAACTCCGTCAGTTACGTTGTATCTGTGTGCACGCTTGTTGGCAAACCGCGGTGCCGTTCCTATACGAATTGTGCTGGTATGGGCCCTGCTTTGCGCGCACGCCTTCAAAGGATTGCAAACACGATGGACCTGTACAAGGGCCCGCCAGGCATTTCGCAAAGAGGCGCCACGAGGTAACAAGTGTCCCGTCTTTTCGTTTTTAAAGACGTTAGTCTTTCTTGGTCCGCAGAGCCCACCAATATTAATATATCTCAAGGTTTAGCGTTCATAGTTGTGTGATTGTCCATTAAAAATAATTGTTGCGCATATCAGAGGCGGCACAATAACGCTTCGATGTTTTCTATGTCTGCCTTTATACTAGAAGAGACACGCACCAGTAACTCTACGGAATGTAGCGTTTAATCGCGCTGCGCTGACAGTGCAACGCAATGCCCAAAAAGGTGCTTCCAACGTTTTGCTATGATTACACGGTGGTGGCACCTGCCCGTCGCTTTGCGATCTACACCTTATCACCTCCGAGACTGGCGCGCATCTTTCTCCGCGGGCTGCACGCCTTCGTTTTCGAAGATAACTGCCAGATGGAACTTGTGTCTAACGTGCCTAGATACGCTCGTTCGCCTCCGCCACACGCTCGAGGCACTCTAACGCAGCGCCTGCACGATACCATTCACCAATTTTCTTGCGCAGAACATCAAATAAACATTTTGTTCACTCTCTCCAGACGCAAGACTATCGTCTTTCGACGACATTTACAGTGTAACACGTATATTCCGACTATTTTTTTATTCGGTGCTCTTGCTGCCAAGAACAGCGCACGAATGAATAAAAGCCATTGCAAACACACGGGTTAAGTTCCCGCAGCTTCGATATGGGCCGCAGTAACATATTCGCGAGCGGGCCCACGCACTTGGGTAAGACGACAAACAACAAGCAGCTGGGACAACAGCTTGCAGGCTCACTGGAAGTAGTACGCTCTTGCTCAACCAACTACAGCATAATTTGACCGGCGTTTCAGAGATGTTCGAACGGCGCGTCATGCGAAGGCATGAAAGGGACGAAAAGAAAGAGGAATTTTTTTTGTTTTTGAAATTTGTGCGGCACCGGTGGATCGTAGCGCTGCCAAGCGTAGTATCGCTGAACGCGAAGGCATTTGGCACATATTGCGCCTGTTTTCTGCAACTGTTTGAAAAAAATATTGGAGGTGGTTTATTGGCCCTTTAGTAAAGCTTCCTGTCTGTCTGTTCGACTATTTTTCTGTATGTTCATAAAAAATATAGATAATAAATGAAACTTTTATGAGCATACTGTCCGACTATCAGATGGTAAGTTTGGCGCATTTAACAGCGAGTTTCAATTATTGATGTAAATGAGGACATCTACATTGGCTCGGTAAACTTTTTCTTTCGTTTATGTATTGAAGCACCGCAAAGTTATATATGCTAACGTGATTTTTTGGTCGATATGACGCCTGTATGGTGTATTTTGGTGGGTGAGTTTGCAGCACCACTGTTACATTGTGGGAGAATACTCCAATGCTTCGCCCAATACCCGGATTCCAGTCCCTCCCAATCCTCGATATTTTTTAAGAAAGAACTGTGAGGCGCTGCTTCCTTCGTTTAGTGCCTGTGTCATCATCGACATAATATGGAGTGAACGGGGACGAAGCAGAGTGAACGTCGAGCACAGCGTGCTTCCTGTGTTAGCTTCTGTAATACCTCGCGCCTGCTCACACTTTTTGTGATAACTCAACACATGCGTTTTACCTATAGAGACTGGCCTGCAAGGCTTTGAAGAAGAGACCTGCGTTGGCAGAAGTTACACTTTTTAAAAGCGAAGCAGCTTATGGTCGAGCTCAATCTGGTGTGTCCGACCACCCTTACTGTGCAAGCCCGAAAGCTGGCGCAAGAATTGCCAGAACGCGCTGGCGCGTTAGCGCGTTGGGGCCTGTGTAAGGGGCTTGGTAAGATGTTGTGGCCTCTCACCCTTCCACTCTCTAAACAATCATGTGATGGCTCTCAGCAATCAGGACGTCGCGGAACGAGATTGTGCAGTCGCGCGATGAACACATGTTTTCCCACGTGGCGTGTCAGTGAGTGAATAAACGTTTATTGGGTCCAGCAATACGCGATGAAACGTGCACCCGGCTGATCACTTTTCGGGACTGGCAGGTCTAGCCTGCCGTCGCGATTATGGGCACGCTGGACGACCAGGATTTGGTCTTCATAAGCGGGACTTTGCAGGAGTGCGTCCCACGCTTCCTTTGTTAACACCGACAAGAGTTTGGGACGAGTAACAGCATCAAAAACTACAGTGCATTCATGTTATGCTCCGCTTGCAAACACGCATTAACATCTCGCAAGGCACCCGTGATGCCCCAAACTTCAAACCGATCCTTGCACTGCTTGGCGTCCTGCTCGTGGTTTCCTTTAGTGGGAGACGGTTTATCTTTTGTAGCGTGGGTAAGTGAAACCCTTCAGGGGATTCGCAGGTTTTTCCATCTTGTATTCCGGGCTTAATTTCGCCCTCAATGAACAGGTTTTAGAGCGCTACTCTTTCGTCCATTGATCGGCAATAATGTAGTCGTATCCGGCAGGGCGAACGAGTATGAAAGACATTCAATGCAGAGGATGGAAGACAGTGATAGCGGGGCGACTAGGAGGGTACGACAGTGGCGAGACATCTCAGTACTGCTCAAAATCATGCGGATCACTTCATCACAAAGGGATCCACTAAGATATGGGCCTCTACCAATACCATATGTAAAAAAAACTCACAGCATATCCATGGAGTGGACCACGACGATTGGGGCGAAGTGTTCGTTCGTTTGTTCGCCCGCCTTCCTGTCTGTCTGTCTGCCTGTCCACCTGTCTGTCTGTCTGTCTGTCTGTATGTCTGTCTGTCCACCTGTCTGTCCGTATGTCCGTCCGTATGTCCGTCCGTCCGTCCGTTTGTCCGTCCGTCCGTCCGTCCGTCCGTCTGTCTGTCTGTCTGTCTGTCTCTGTCCATCTGTGTGTCTGTGTCTGCATCTTTCATTCTGTCTTTGTGTACCTCTCTCTGTCTGTCCATTGCTCTGCTTGTGTCCATGTGTCCGTCCATCCGTATATCCATGTGTTCGTTCGTTCACCCTCCCGTCCATCTGTCCATCTGTCTGTGATTGTGTCCAGTGGCGGACACAACGGGGCACGTGGAAGCAGGGGATTCAAAGCCATCCTGAAATTTCTGGCACAATTCAACGAGTGTCGGGTCGCAGACGAGGCCTTGGAGAGGCCTACCTTCTGTGCATATACCAAGCGTTCCTGATGATCCACATCAATTACGTGTCTTCTGTCCACAACTGAATGAAGGTGGAAAAGAATAAACTAAGCACACTCATGCGCAAAAGTATTAAACAAGTATACCTCAAAACTCAATTAATTCCCGTCTCGACCAACTAGGCATGCACAGCAACATCGATGAAGTGATCGAGGCCAAGACCATGGCCCAAGTGATCTGGCTGTCCTCCTCCAAGGCAGGCCGCCAATTTCTAAGCGAGGCTGGTATATCCCCACATCCCTACATTGAACGCACAATAAGGCTCCCCAAAGCTGTATGCGCTAACAACATGACAACCCCATTTTCGCGAAATGTTCGCCCGAAACACAACAAAGG